TGTCAAACTTTGTCACCCCTGGTCATTTTACTCATTTTGGGTTTTCAGGCCCAGAAAGTCCCATGTGGGCCCAAAATCGGGTTTTCCCGAGCTTTATTTTATCACTTTATTTTCATGTTAGAGTATGTTTAATTGTAGCTAAATGTATGTGTATAAGTGTGTAATTATGTAGGAAAATGAGGAACATGAAAGAAATTTTGGAGATTTTAGTGCTTGAGGGGCCTACCATATGCTAGCATGTATATAAAGAAAGAGTTAGACAATTGTGGCCTTGGCAAAAAAATTTGTGGCCACAATCTCTCCTTCTCCAAGTCTGGCCCACCTCCCTCTCTTTTATTTTCTCTTTTCTTTTTTTTTTTTCTTCATCTTGTATACCAAGCATATATACATGAGGCCATTGATTCATCTCATTAGAGTAGGAATTTTGACAAGTGCTAGTAAGAGAAAGTGAAGAGGTAGTTAAGGTGTGATGTCCTTGATTTTTTCGGTATTTTTCGGCCATTTTTCGTTTTATTTTATTTGTGCACGACGATGCATGTCGCGGTGTTCCGGGAGTTGTGTGGGATGTTTCTTCGGGTTTAGAACCCATAGAAACTCATTTGGGTTCATTTCAATCTGTTTTGATTTTCGTGTCCGGGAGGTGCCGGGTGGGCCGCGCGGCAGATTTCTGTGTTTTGGAAATTTCTCGACATCAATGTGTTCTTCATTTACGTTGGAATTATCCGTTTTGCATTGCGTTGCGTCGTTTGCGAGTTTTTGGGTCTTAAAAATGTTGTTTTAAGCATTTAAGCGGGAGGCTTGACCCACAGTTTGACCTTTAGTATATAAAGAGGACTTATATCATTTTTTGACACAATTTTTATTTATTTCTCTCTCTACTAGCCGTGGTCCTCTTCTCTTTCTCTAGATTTTCTTTCTTTTTTCCTTTTTACATGCTTCAAGCGTAGATTCAATCTAGTTTGACTTAGATTTTGATGACGCCATAGAAGGGAAGTTTAACGAGTGTGTCGAGAACTACGTGTCTATGGTGTCAGATTTTGATATAGAGTACTTTGGAGTTTTTGGGTGAGGCTCGAGTTCGGATTTTGGAGGCGCCGTAAAAGGATTAGTTGCTCTCCTTCACCTCTTCTTTCATCCTACGGAGTCGGTTTTGCGAGGGAGGCATTTTGGTTTCAGTGGGAATTGGGATTTTCATCCTAATTTGAGGTAGGATGTCTAATTCATGGAGTCTTGGGTTTTTGTGAGTTCCTATATGTTAATTGTGTATTTTAGCATACCATAGATGTCGTATTTTAATTATTTGATGACTATGTGAGAATTTTAGTTATAATCATGCCTATGTGATGTTTATTTGTGTATAATTTATGCTATCTACATGGAAAGGTGACAAGCATGATTTGTATGTTAAATTTGTACCAATGGTATGCCAAAATGATTATGTGAAAAAATTGCTAGCATGCTTAAATTATGAAGTTTATGTTGAATTGTGTGTGCAAATGGCAATTCATGAGAAAAGTGATAAAATTGATGAAGTCTATGTAAATCATGATTAAAATATTGATTTTTACTCATTGTAAGCATGCTTGGTATATGATAAATTGATTATGAAAAGTAATGTGTTAAATATTGTGTTGTTGAGGCATATTTGTATAATGTGGTTTAGAGGTTATTGAATGGCATATTCATTTCATGAGGCTAGCAAGAAGTAGTCATTTTAAGTTGGAAGATGAGCATCTATTGTGGTATTTTAGCTTATGCTTTGGGTAGAGAATTTGTGAGTGAAAGAGTGATGTGAGAATGATGAGATTCAAGTTGAGGAGAATTTGTGATAGACAGAAGACAAGCGGTAGTCTTATTTTCGAGATTTTGGTAACTGGGCCCCAAATGGTTGGATGAGCGGTGGTCTCACGCCAGGGATAGCTAGCCATTGTTCCAAATGGTGGACAAGCGGTAGACTTGTGCCATTTAGAGTTAGAGGCCCCTAGTATGGATTTGTGTAGTGAGATGGATTGGTTGGGAAAGTGCTATTGTGTGTAGGATGAGATCATAGGATTGGTTCGGGATGGATTCATGGCATAAGCATTGATTGCATTGTTGATTGTTGTTTTGAATTTGTGTGTGTGAATGTGGTTAAATGGATACATGTATATTGTTGCTAATGCCAAATAATGTTGATTCCGTTATTTCTCCCCGTAATAGCATAATCCTCTTGTCTTACTCTCCCTTTACTATGCGTGTTTATTCACAGGGCTTTAAGAGCCATGCATTAGACATACTCTACTGAGCGGTGGTACTCACCCCTTTATTGTAAACATTTTCAGGGCTTACAAGAAGAAAGGTGGATAGCGTATCTTTATGAGCTTAGAAATAGACATAGAGTCTATTTTCATCACATTTTTGTAACCAATGCCATATTTGTAAAGTTTTGGGGTTCAAACATGCACTATTTAGTAATTATTTCCGTGGAATTGTAAATTTATTGTCTTGGCAATGTAATATATTATTTAGTGACTATTTTGAGTATGCGTGATGATGGCCGCCTTTGAACAATTTTCAAGAAAGAATGCTATGTGGTTTACAATGAGATTTCCAATTAAAAAGAGTATTTTATCTATTGATCTGTATTTTCAAGCTTATGACGTTTTACTCATTTTATACGAGTTTTGGGGCTGGTTTAAAGTTGTCTATGATGTTAAACTGAGCTAAGGGGGATGCCAAGTGCCTAAGGCACTTAAAAGGAGCCAAAATCACAACACTAAGGAACTAGCCGACGTGTAGGATTTTCACGTCGACCGGTATCTCATGTTTTTTAGGCAGTGTGAAATTACATTGTTGAGAGCCCAACCGGTCGACATATGTGACTTCATGTCGACCGAGTTCACCAAACTGGTCGTTGACCCATCCGTGCCTGCTGGGTCTACTTATTTTTTCAAATCCAGTTTTGTTATTTCTTTGACCAATTCATGACCCTATTGAGTCTTGTGGACCCCGGTACCTCATTTTATTAATGCCTCGACAAAGGAAATGACTGTATTGCCCTGGAGAGTCCTCGAGTTTGGGTAAGGACTCGGCTATAAGGTGTTGCGATTTTTGTGAAGATTGGTGGAGATTCATCTTAAAGAAAAACTAGGGTTTGCTCTCTAACTGAGGTAGGAGTGTCTAACCCGCAATACCTTTGATTTTAATGAGTTTTGAGATGATTTTATGTGCATAATTATGCCTCACATGTGAAATTACTATCTTACTTACCCTAGCTAGTTCTTGGTGTTGTAAACTTCATGCCATGTGGTGATGGTTTGTGAATTCATGTATTGAGATGATTAATTGGACAATTAATTGCATATTTGACCAGGGTATTTTAATTTGATGATTAACCAAGCTAACATATGTGGAATTGTAGAGCGCTTTAACACTTTGTATTACTAAACCATGCCATTTATGCTTAATGTGTGCTTACTTGTTACCATGCACTGTAGATGCTTAATAAATTGCCTATATGAGTACATGTTTTGTTTCCATGTGAAGAAGGCATGGAAATAATCAACAGGCTAGTAACCAAGTGGTATAAGACTCCTACTTCCCAAAAGGAGGCCGTGGGTTCAAGCCTATGGAGACGTGTGTGTAAGTACCAACTAAGAAAAAAAAAAGGCATGAAAATATTGACTCAAGTTAATTTTCCATGTATATTGAATTGGGTAAAATGGCTTATTGCATCCATGTCATTGGCATTGAGGAAGTGTGTGTGGGTTGGTCGGGATGTGGAGGATGATTTATACAAGGTTTTACGAAAAGGTTTATGAAAAGTTGGTGGGCTAACTCAACCTAGAGGGAGTACGGGCAGGGTATTCCGTATTCGGTCGAGCTACCTAAGCCCTACATGGTCGTTGGTGAGAGGCGAGGGATAGTTAGCCAACTTTGCCTCGAATAGGGTTGTGTTAGCCGGTTTTGGTGTGAGTTGCGTCCCGGTGATGTTGGGAGGGTACATATCATGGCATAATGCATGGTTGACGTCTTGATGTCCATGTTGTTGATTTATTCCTTGTATGAGCCATGTTACTTTCTATCCTTTTTACTCTCTCGTTGCATGATCCGTTCCTTCATTCTGCCTCTTCTTTGGTATGTTGCTCATTGGGTTTTAAGGTGTATATTTTAGGCGTATGTACTGAGCAAGTGTGCTCACCTCCTTACTTAACAAATTTTAGGAAAAAGACCGGTGGTGGAGGATCTACCTTTGCAAGCCTAGAAGCGGATGGATTAGTTGTTGGGACCTTGGTAATTTTTAGCATATACAAATAGCCACCATTTTGTTAAGTTGCACAATGTGTGTCAATGTAAATTTGATGTAATGGTACTAGGAGGGATGCATTTTGAGACTGTTTCATTGGTAGCATTGTATCATTTAGCATGTAATTATTAGTGCTTCTTCCCCTCTCTTGGTACATGCACAAGGGATGTAGAATTATCTATTTTTGCTAAATTATGTAAATAAATGTGCATGTATATGTTATGTGATTTGGGTTTTACGTTCAGGATATCTATTACGGGTATTCTCAACATTTTGATGACTCTATTTGAGGCCAAAGTGGTACCCATGGCCCTCAGCACTCAAAAAGGGGCTTAAAGGATCCAATTTAGGCAAGCGGGACTGGTCGCGTCCCTCGCAACCAGTCGCGCTGCATTCTAGGGTTCCCAAAAATGGGTTACTACCCAAACGAGGACTGAGGAGGTCAGTGTATATTGACGAACCCTCAAGGGAGGACAGTGTAATTTACTCTAGAAATGGTCAAACAAAGATCAACAAAGAGGCTAGAAATTTTCTCAAAGATCAAGAGAGAGGGGAGGTTAGTGTATATTGACAAAACACAAGGAAGGTTAGTGTAATTTACCCTAGAAAATTTCTGAAAGATCAACAGCTAATTTCTAAAACTTTTCTCCTCCCTAAAACACGTGTTAATCTTTCATCTTTAGCACATATATACACTGAACAGTGGATCATGTAGTAACATTAAAGATATATGATTGCTTGTTTTGTATTCCTTGTATTGGTAAATGTTCATGTATCTACACAGTAGGATATATTCTGATTGAACATATATTTTCCAGGATTGCAAAGTAATATACATATGCACCTAAGAACTTGCATCATAAATTGCAAACCAGAAAAATAGTAGTATTCTGGTAAGCGTTGGACCACTCTTGGTTCTTCTTCTTTTTCACCTTAATCCTCCTTTACTATCACAAACTTAGATTGTAGTTGCTAGAAATTGCACAGTGGTGTTGAACAGAAAGCGAACTTGATATGTCAAATTGACGTTGATCGTGGCATTACTTAAGAGTGCAGCACCAAAATTCAATTTTAGTGAACATGGATGATATGAGGTTGGCGCTGTGGAGTTGGTGGCCCAATTTCTTCATCATCAGATGATGCAAGTGAACCATTACGAGACACCTAATGGACACCGAAAATGGAAAAAAGCAAATGCCTTAAAAAGAGAAAAAGATGAAAAGCATAAAAATGTGTGTGTGTGTGTGTGTATATATATATATATATATTATTACCACTTGGCGTCTGCGATGCTGGATGATATTCACTGCCTTCATCATAATGTAGATTGGTACAATGATCCCAGAAGTTCGCAAAACTAACAACTGTCATACGAAGGTGAGTTTTTATACGAGTCTCATTTTTCTGGAAATTTCATTGCAGCCCTAGCCATATGATATAGAAGCGTTAGTATATCTTACCAAGATCAATGGGAAAGAGTACCCTTCTGCTCCGCTGACTATAAGGGGAAGTGTATGCCGTAAAATCAGAAGAACCATAAACTGCAGAGAGAAAACAAAAGAAACTTCTAAGAGGCCGTGTTCAGAATGAGCTACTGGTGGATCCGTTGGCCTTAGAGCCATCCCATTTCAAAACTGATATGTTCAGATGACCAAAGAAAATTAGTTATAGCTGAATTTATTAGGTTCGCATGGATCAAGGTCTGAAGTTTTAAGCCTTAGTCATATTCTGAAGTTTTGGAAAGTATTGCAGGAATATGAAAACATGTCTCAAGCAGGTGTCTTTTAATGAATTTCTCATATTCAAATTTCAGTTGTTCTTGAAAAATTGCCTAGGTAACATGATTATTGGGGGAGGGGGTGTTCTTGTCTTTACTCTTGCATACTAGCACTCTGTATCTTCTCATCTCTTCGCAGCTCTGTCCCATCTCAATCCCAACTTGCCAAATTGTATTTACTTGCAATGTTTGCTTAGCATTATAAGTTCATGACCTCTTACAATATCTTTAACTACATTTTCTAACATTCCATTAAAACTATTCTGGTCTTTATAAAACAAAATTAAATTGATCATAAAATGCTAAACCTTGAGAGAGAGAGAGAGAGTGTACAATTATGGCGACTGAACGACAGCACATCAAACTTCTTGTTGTAGAAGCCTCGTACTCATCATACTCAGGATCAAGAAAATTGCGGTCAGCTGAAACCATTGCTATAATTCGAGGATTATTCGGATCACTTCTGTCAATCTCCCAATTTCCCCTGATAAAATGACAATGGAATCACATTTTCCAAATTTCTTGAAGGAACAGAAAGGATCAACTGCAACAAATACACACACACACACATATATATATATGAAAACTAAAAATAAGAATAAAAAGATAAGTACGTACCTGAAATTCAGTGGAATGCCGCCATATTGAAACATAGGAGGCGGTGCTGTATAACCTGGTTTGTATTGCTGCAGATCGATAGACATTCAACAATTACAAATGAATACGGTTCATATCTAATTTAACATGTGAAACATTTTATAAAGCTAAAAGAAATGGTTGTCCGAATTAACGGAAACATCAGTGAGATGAAGAACAGTCATAAAGAAAATAACCCACCTGGTGGCATATCTCACAGACAGTGTCACCCTTCTCGTTGCACCACCTTTGTACACATCTGCGATGAGCATACTGCAAAAATTCATGAAAAAAATGAGCACTGCAAGTCATGCGACATAATTCTTTAAGATAATAATTAATCGAACATGAGAAAAATCTATTGAAAAGTTTAAGGTGTTTAAGAAAAAGAGGACATCAGGCATAATTTTGCAAATTGAAGGACCTGAAGCCAGTCTTATATACTAATTCAGAGTTAAAGACCTTTCTATATTAAATTATAGTTCTAGGATGTCAAATCTCCTATTTGGTCTAGGATGTCAAAATACAATTGGAGTGATGATCATATTCAGCCACATTGACTATTTCTTCACTTGTGTGTTGTGTTGAGAAATGTACCAAGAACGAAGTAAGTTCTATTAGTAAAGCAGAGCAATATTTTGCTTCTAATATCTCTCCTTTGTTCTATATATGTGACTCTATGTTTGTAACAAATAATGCATATATCTAGTTATTATGATTTATAATTCTAAAAGATTTTTTTATCACGTGTACACATAAAGGAGGGAAAATTAAAATTAAAATTTTTAAAAATGGACCCATTGGGGAGTTTATTTAGGGAAAACTACACTTAGATTGAGTTAAGAACTCAACAAAGTAGTCTATTTTAAAAGTTTGTTTTTCACTTTGGTTGATCAGGAAGATCGAAAAAAAAAAAAAAATTACATATACATTGAAAATCATTTTTAAGGTTCAAAATGAATTCCAAACTCATATTTCAAAATATCAAATTACCCCCAAAATATTATAGCAATTGAGCTTTTTCTGTCCACTGTTCGCCCACTATCCAGCATTCTCCTGCTACTATAGATACCACCCACTGAAAATCCCTTCTTTGATGTGTTTGGTCTAGGCTTGATTTGCAAGATTTAGGGTGAAAAACAAAGGGCTACTCTGAAACCTCATTATTTCAGGGGAAAAAAGAAAAACTAACCTGAGATAATCAGTTTTTTGCCTCGTTTGTTATAGTACCTACTGCACTGAATATCTCCCATGTGGTCAAATTAATTTTGCAAATACAAAACCATTTGATTGATGTCCATAACCAATTTATGTTTTTTTCATTGTATTTGCATTAAATTTATTTGATGGTTATCTTCAATGTCATAATTTTTATATGATCATCACTCCATAGATTGGCTGAGTTCTTCATTAAATTTATTTGATGGTTATCTTCACTGTCATAATTTTTAATCTTAAAATGGTGCAAAGTGTCTTGTGACTCTTGTCTGTTCAAGCTTGGTTGCCTCAATGATCTGAATGGTCCCAATATATTTTAATGATCCAATAATGAAAAACTTATAGCACACTAGCACAAAACTCGGCACTAGTTTCTAAAAACAATTCTCAACATAATCAAATGAAACCTAAAAGTTCTACCAAAGCTCATAAATTTCTTTTTCGGGTAAGTCACACAGGCACACTATTTCCTCAATTGGGACTTGAACCCTACCTCCCATCTGAGAAGAAAATTGGGAATTTCCCCACAATCAAAACAAACTGCACAACCTATTTGTTGTAAAACGCCGATACATTATTCAATTAAAATTTGGTCTGGAAGGGGTTGGATTTAAGTTTTGACTGTCAATTTCCCAATAATTCATAACTCATCTCTCCAAACAACCATGGTGAGTTATGCTGATCCCAGTTTTGTTCTGCTGCACAAACAGTAAATTAACCCCCAAACGGTCAATGAAACCGGACCAGTGAGACGATAAATGCTTTGTGAAACGCATGGTCAGAATATATCAAAAGGACTATTAGCATTTCAAATTGATCATGCTCTGCATTAAAAGGACTATTAATATTTCAAATTGATCATGCTTTGCAATTCTATGTATCAGTATAAAAACTTTAAAAAGGACTTTTTTATATTTCAAAACACAAATTAATATACCATTAAAATTTCAAAGCCAATACAGATTTTCCAATTGCAGGAGGGCAATAACGAAAATTGAGGTGCAACTAACCTTCAAGCTGCCACAGCAAGAGCAAGGCGTTTCCATATTCGAATCTTGATCCTCATCGTGGCATATCCTGCACTCCACTATTTTCCTTGGAGTCAAATCATTCGCAGAGTCAATGCCTTGTGAATCGCAATCAATTATCATTTCATCCATTACCGAGGCTGTCGATTGCTTCGACGGGTTCCTGCTCTCGATTGCAGCTTCCAAAGTGGATTCAGTGAGCAAACGATCCACCAGCAATACAAAATGATCTCCCATTCTCAAATTAATTTATAGCTTGTAAGAAGCTGAATAAAATGAATCCAAAGTCCACAATGTAATGAATTAGCCCTCTTTCTGTCAACAATATTCCTGAGAATTAAAACCCAATATAGTTAAAAGAAACCAAAGTACGAAAAGCATGAGTGAAACACATAATTCTGGCTGGGCACAAAATCATAGAACAAACAAAGAAATGGGTATTGATAATAAGTTAAACAAACTCCTTTAAATCAAAAAAAAAAAAAACTATCATGAATCTCTAGCCAAAATAGGAAGATAGAACCCTCAAATTCCTTTATTTAGAAATGGAAGTTTAAAAAAATTAAATAAAATCACCTTGAACTGAACGAAAGCTCTAATGGAACAGTAGAAGAATTGAATGGATAAAACCAGCAAAGGATATTATTTAGCTTCAATAAAAATAAATAAATAAAGAACAGAACAAATAAGAACAACAATACAAAATCAAACAAAAAGTTTAAAAATAAGGAGGGAAAAAGGGGGAGGACTTAAAGTAAAAGTAAATAAAAGTGAAGGCACCTTTTGAAAAAAAAAAAAAAAAAAAAAAAAAGCTTTGATCATGAAACTGTCTACAACAATCACAAAAATGGCAAAAACCCAATTGACTAAAACACATGGGAAAAAATTCAAAAGCCATAAAAGCAAGAAAGAGAGAGTACCCAGAAAAAGATACGAGGGAGAAAAAAGGAATGAAACAAACCCAGATGGTAAAAGTAACCTTTCAATCAATCCAAGGCCTTAAACAAACATCAATACAATAGGAGTTTCATAAGAATATACTGATATAGAAGGAAAGAGAAGAAAGAAAATATATGCTTACAAGAAGGGGATCGGATAACTGCAAGCTAAGAAAGCTCCATCTCTAACTTTCTCTCTCCACCCGGGCTTCCTTTCTTCGTAGAAAACCCTGTTTTGGAATGAAGCAAGAGATCAAGTGTCGTCGTTATCATCACTCAATTTGTATACGAGTCATAGAAAAGGAAATCATACGAATTATCGTATTTTAGTTTCGGGGCCTTCAATTTCAAACAAACTTTTTCTTGCCTTTATGTATGTTCTGTTGCTTGTGATTTCTGTACTACTATATATATATATATATATATATATATATATATAGCCTTGTATATGTATAGAGAGAGAGAGAGAGAGAGAGAGAGGGAAATGAAAAAGAAGTGAGATTCTAACGGCAAAGCAACTCACGACCGCCACGATTCCTTTTTACTTCACCGTTTTTGCCGTTTGGATTTCCCCCAACAGAAAGGATTAAAAAACACTGGTGAAAATTTGCTCAAAAGCCAACTTAGGACAATTTCTGACCATTCCATCCAAATAAAATTGGAATAAATTTCTTGACAATATTAATCCATATATTTTTTTAAGGAAAATTAACTAATATAATAGATTTTTTGGACAAGAGGGTCCTACTAACTACCCCCACTCTGATGATGATGATGAGAAAGACCACAAACATTACTAAGACCAGGCATGTACTATGAAAATTAGAATTTAACATATACGGAGTACCATGTAACATATTATTCCTAAAATAGAAGTATTTAAGTGTTTTTTAATTGAAAAAAGTTTAAATTATTTATTGATCCAAAATATTAATATACAATAAATTAATATTTAAACCAAGTAAGTTGAATGAAAGGGCATCTAGCCCATAACACTCCTTGAAAAAAAAAAAAAAAAAAAGTGGACAAAAAGTGTAGGAGTGAGTATGTGTAAGTTTGTTTCTTTCCAAAAAAAAAAAATTTAAAAAATTAAAAAAAATAGCAAGTTGTAAAGAAAAATGTGATTATAATATGAATCTTGTACACGATATATTTAAAATAAATGAATATATATTATTATTATTATTATTATTATTATTATAATTCATGTTCGAATTAGGCTCGAGTTGATGACACCTCATATAAGTTCAACTCTAATTAAGTTCGGGTTGATAGGCATAATATATTTAATATCTATATATATATATATAATATTATAATTCAGCTTATGCTCGAGTTGATAAATGTCTCACCTAAGTCCAATTAAGTTTGGGTTGATAGTTTTCAATTCAAGTCCACTCTTAATTGTAAAAATAATTATCAAAGCCGATGAAAAATAGAGCTGAACTCGTGTTTGGGATTAAGCTTTAAAAAAAGGAGGTCTTTTATGCCACTTAAAAATGAACCCAACCTAAATCATATTATTCTTCTCAACTAGTGTCGCCCTCACACTTTAAACACGCTTCCATTCTCACGTTTCACGCGGACTCTCACTTCCATTTCTACTCTATGTAACTTAAATTTTGCCGCTCTCACTCTCACTTTCGAATTCATTCTATCTTCCGCTCTTGCTTTATATTAGGCCCCAACTATAACCTCGTTTTTTTTCCCTTTAAATGTGACAAAAACGTAAAATCTATTGATTCGAAATTGTTTATTTTTGAGTTTTAAGTTGTGTTATGGTAAAAATAAAAATAAAAAAATAATTATTTTCGACTAGTTATATGAATCTGCTAAATAAGTTTTCCAAAATTTTTGTATATAAATATTTTTAACATGTTCTTTTAATATTTTAAATTTTCAATGCATATGAAATTGTAATCAACATTTCTCTCCTGAGATAAATATTAATGATATTTCGACAGAAGTTGAAACCAAAAATTCGTGTTTTTTTTTTCTTTCTCCTTGAAATTTTCTAGTAATTCACGTCTCCCAAATTTCGAATTGCACAATAATATGGCCCTAATATAGTTTTTTTTTTTTTTTTGGTCAAATTAAGCAACATGCGTTGAACTTGAATCTCTTTTATGTACTTAAATCCATGTAAAGGTACCAATATATTTTTATCATTTATATCATGTTGAGAATTTGAGATAACCATGGCTTCTAAGGAACATTTACTACTTTAATCATAGAACGCGGTACACTCTTTAAATGCAAGTCCCACCATTAATAATATTATCTTGTAAATATCTTGTATAATATCTCTTTAAATTGTCACACCAACGAGAGAAAAATCATAGTAGTAGTTACTTTAATACGTGGTAGGACATTATATAAACACGTATGCATATAAATTTTATATATCATCTGTGTTTTTCTACTAGCTTTTGCATGCATGCCGAGTGACCTTTGTACGAGTAAGAGACGTGAAAGGGTAAATTCAACGCTTAATTAGTTTATAATTAAATGTTTATTTAATTAAATATGTTTGATAACGTAATTTTAATATTACTAAAAACGTTAAGTATCATTTAAAATGAAATAAAATTTTAAGTAATAGAAACATCACTTCTCGAACGTTGAACGCTTAAAAAATATCAGAAAATATTTATTTTTTAATTACCACTTAAAAATTTTAATACTTAAAATTTAGATTTTAAAATTTCCATATCTGTGTTTCTACTAGCTTTTGCACGAGTATGGATGTGAAAGGGTAATATGTATATACATGTATAAATACATGATCACTAATACTTGTTTAAGTTTAGGTGGTGTTTGATATATAACTCAATTTAGAAGTTAACGTTTCTTCATTTAAGTGCATTTTATAACTTAATTTTAATATTAATAAAAACACTAAACACTAATAAAAAATAAAAAAAATTTTAAATGACAAAAACATCACTAATCATCTACAGTTTTAAGGGATGATATTTGCACTGTACAAGAAAGTGACGCCCTTCAAATCAAGACTTCACACAATTTAACTCTTTGAATGTGTGTGAGAGAGAGAGATATATAGATGAAATCTGGTTCATTTTCAGCTCAGATGATCTCACTTTGGAGTTTGAGGCGGCTGACTCTTACAAAAACCTTTTCGTGGGCCAATTGATTGGTTAGCCAAATGGGTGGAGTTTGTTATGAATGGTCCAGTTGTTGCATGTCTCTGATACAACAATTGTCTACTTATTTTGTTCACAGAAAATAAACAAATAAAAATGGAGGGCCGTAAGGTGTGGTTGGTGAGCATCCCAAACCAATTAGTCTGAGGAATCTATATCTCATATCTCTTTCATTTCATCATTTTCACATTTAATCTATATCTCATAGTGGTGAAGCTCAAATCACATGCATCCTCACGCAAAAAAAGTATACAATATACAAATTAATATTATATAGATCTTGTCAATCATATATATGCGACCTAGCGAGTACCTTCGTAGTCCAGGGATTAATTTGCTCTCTGTTGTTGTTTGAGGGAGTTCAATTTCGAACCTTTAAATTCACTAACGTACTTCTAATTTAACATTTTTACTGTGAATATATATATATATAGATATATATATATATATACAACCTAGTGAATGCCTTTGTAACACAGTCATTAGTTTGCTTATCCTAGGGAGCCTCTTCGAGCCTTTGTGGTATGATTTTTGTTTTATGTTTTTTTTTTTAAAGAGAAAGTTGAATATTTGAACTCTATTAAGGTAATATTGTATGCATAGATACATTTACCGGAAATATATATATATAGAGAGAGAGATAGAGAACTGTTCACTTACTCACTAATGTGTAAAAAATTTATACACAAATTAAATCATCACCGTTGGTTATCAAAACATAAACTACCTTTTTAACTACCAAATAGAATCTGACGGTTAAAATTTCAGGTGTGCATATATTTTCTTACACACCAGGGAGTAAGAGAACAATTTTGTATATATATATATATATATATATATACACACATTTAGTTAGTGGACCAGTGTGGGTTTTTAGAAGTAAGAGATGTGGTTGAACTACCATTTTAGTTTTCAATGTACGATCAAGATGAGGGCATCAAAGATGATGCTGGCTAAGTGATTTTTGATTGATAATTCAAGGTTTGTTAAAGGAAATAATGTTAACCTAATTTAGATCATTAAGTCAGCAACTACATTTTTAAAATAGCATGTAAGATTCACGTGGGAGATGGTTGATATAGTCCGATAGATGCATGATGCCATATATTAGAACCATATATTAGAATTGATTAGGTGAGTTGATGATCCAACACTAACAAAGTTTGGTACATTAGTTGGTTAATTATTTCATAAATGAATTCAAGAATTTAATTTATACGAGAAGATATTATCATAAAATTATTAAATATGTCATCTCTTACTCATATAATTAGTCTTAAAATATATATAGTCACCCATAATACGGCAATGGCAACAATCTTACAATGAGATTCTCCTCATTCAAGGACTATAACAGACACTATGCATGTACATTTAAGGGCGCAAAATTAACTAATTTCATCTTGTATTTCATATTGGCATAAGATTATAGAATATAGATTTCCATTACCAAAATCGTGTAGATCCCGAAATCTACCGGACAGGCAGCCTTCAGACACACACATTGTGGGCTCCCGCCATCGGGTTGTTTTGTGTTTAGGAATAATTTAATCTAAAACTAACTTAAAAGTGTAATGACTCGAATTTTCACGGATATTTTTTTCCCGTTAATCTTTTCCTGAATTCGGTTTCTCGTCACTTAATGTCATCTTGAGTGCTCGGGGATGGTTTCCGAGACTTTTTTCCTTGGGTTGACGACTTCCTTTGAGAACCGAGTCATTTTCACATTTTCACTTTTGTGACATTATTTACTTTCGTCTTTTTCTCGGTTGTCACTTTGTTGGCATAACTTCACTTCTTGTGTTCGGATTCGATTCCGGTTTTGCATGCATCCACGATATTTAAATTTCATACTATGTGTATTTTCACTTTTGTAGAAAAGTATGCTAAGTGCTTACTTTTCTTGTAAAGGGTATAGATGCATAACCTTTTTGTAATTTTCCTAACTTTTGGGGTTTTTGTATAATTACTGTAAAGTAATTATTTTTCGTCTTAGGAACCACTTTGTAATTTAATTTGGAAGATATTTTCAAAAATGACCTTTTTGCAATTTCCGGAAAGTGTGACAAGTGTCACACTCTCATTGGTCCACTTGTTGACATTTGTGTGGAGACACTTTGAGACCTTGGATGATGACACATGGAGGGTGGAGATTCACCCACTTGTTGGCCTATGATTGGTGCACTTGTTGGCTTGGATGGTTGACAAGTGTGGGCTTGAGATTAAGATTATGATGGAGCCTTGGATGAGTGACAAGTGTAAGCTCACAATTTGATCTTGCATTAGTGTATGTGTGTGAGGTAGTGTAAGAGCACATAGTGAGTGGAGGATCTCTATCCCCTCCACTCACATTTCATCTTCATCATTTTCCATTTCCTCTCTCTCTTGTAAAGAAAACCCTAGCCTCCATGGACGGAGTCTAAAGCCTTAAGCTTTGACCTTGATTTTTGAGGGCCTTCCATTGATTTCCAAGCTTGAACTTGGGAATACATTTTGT